AGTCAAACGAACTATTTTCAACGTTTCTGGAACGTTTACAATCGTTCTATAATGGAACCAATATTCGAATTTTATGTTCGAATTAAATTCGAACAAATTCGAAATAGAAAACCACTTTCAACCACTTTCAGCCCCATATCTCCCGCACCCTTATAGCTATCGAGACGCAACCACCACAGTGCACGAATGGAGACTTGGGGTTACTACCACATACAAACACCATTCATGTGCGATGTGTAGTTTTGGCGGAAAAGTGAAATATAGGGACACACACGTCCATATATATATACAGATATAATGGAAATTCTTCCGCCAAGTACAACGGAATATTTTTATGAGAAAATAAAGATTGAAGAATTGAGAGGAGCTTCAAGTGGAGCTTGACGTTTTAATGCACTTCCTCAGCTCTTGACAAAGCCATTCTATGTTGCTTAAGTCGGAGTTTACAGATCTCGGAGTCTCTGTTCTTATTCTTTTAGATATAGAATTTACCTGACCAATTTTACTCTTACGCTTACCCCTAGGCAAAATAGCGAGTCTTTTTAATTCCACTTTGATAAAACAAAGATGAATTTTATGTAGGGTAACTAAGGATTGTAATCCAACGGTGTTTTCAACCCAGCTAAATTTTTCTGGACCAACAACATTCCAGCTGGATCCAGCACAGATGTATTTTTGGTGCAAAAAAAGTGTTATCTACCCAGAAATTTATGGTTTATTTAAAAAAATAAAACATTTCTTTTTAAATACTTAAGAAATTTTTATTATTTAGACTGGTTACTATAAATCAGTAAAACTTCTTACACATTTAGATAGTAAATTTAACTTTGGCTAGGTTTAACACTTCAGATAGAGATAATTAACTTTAAATGTTTAGTTAGATTATAATTATGGTGTAATCTTTAAGTTAAATAATAGCAAAGGTAATTCTAATAATTAATTTATATTAATATATTATATTATAATAATGTAAGGATGGATATTTAGTGGCTGAGTGGCTATCATTCTTACCAGTTTTTTTTATATAGACTCTACATATCAGTCTGTAGTTATTTATAAGTAATTTATTTATTAGTGTTAGTAAAGTAGTGAGTAAGTAATTAGTAGTAGTCTAGATGCAAACTTTTACACTGTAGAAACGTTCCAGCATGCTGAGGAGACTGTTTCACATAGTGCAGCAGTCAAGAATCAAACTCAATTCGAACGTCGAACAAAACTTGACCCTTCTTAATAACCGTCATAACTTTATGAATGATAGATACTATAAGTATAAACAAAACATACAATAAATTATAAAATAATTATAATAAAATGGATAAACAGTATAAAATTTAATGAAAGAAACGAACGTCCACTAGAGATCAACCACACTCCCTGCCCTTTCAGTTTTCGAAGGAAAATATCTGAATTTAATACTTCACGCGGGGCCCTTTAAATCAAATTTTTGTCTGTTCCCATGAACTTCTAACGCGACAGTCTTTATTTGTCTTTATTAACGATTCGAATAGGGCAAACGACTCAATTGTATTATTATAATTATTCATAGTGATCCAGATTTAAAAATCGTTTATATTCGCTGTAATTTTTTATTATATTTTCATTTAAAAAGTCACGAGACTACGCTTAATCGGGCCTCCTAATGATAAGTTACTGATTTTCACCTACGTAACTCTGTTCTCGAGATTAAAGAAAGACAGTCAAGCAGACTGTGTATAACGAAATTTTACAGATTTAAAATTTACAAATTTTAACCCAGTTAATATCACAAGTAAAATCAAGTAACTGCTGCAAATGATAACCAATAAATAATAAACAAAATTAAATAAATATAAATCTAATGGCATGATAAAGGGTCCTGGAGACACTGTCTCACTAATTACTAGTGACTAATGACCAGAAGTTCATTGGAAGGAGCCGTTCTGTAGGTTTTGCATATCCTGATGGTGAATTTTCTCTGGGTGAAGGCAAGCTTGCGGCGAATATGTTGTTTATTAAGCGCCTCTTGCCACACCGGGACAGCATACTGTTTCATAGTTTTTATATGTAGACAATGGATCCTTTCGGGTTCGACTGACATATCTTGCATTAAAATCGTAACATTTTTCCTCGCAGTCAGACAAAGTTTATTTTAAAATTTTAGAAAAAGTAATGTAAACGTAGAAAGTAGCGCAACTCGTTGCTGGTTTATCCTACAGTCGAATTTCCCTTTCGAATGGGGACAGAGAGAGAGAGAGAGAGTTTACATAATAACTTAAATATAATATACCTTTTAATATTTTCACAATTATTTTGTNTAAAAATATCAAATTTTATTTAAAAAACGTTTCATTACAGACAGCCACCAAAATTTTAAAATGCCGGGAAAGTTAAGCAACTCGTTACTGCTTTATATATCATAAGTGATTATTCGTAGTTATCATGTATTGTTTTGCGAATTGTTTAGCCTGTCAACAATGAATTTTTCACTGCGGAAGTAAATTTTAACAGGAATGAAATGAACATCCAAAGTAAGTAACATGTTACTTTGTTCAAACTTTTTTATTAGTATTATTTAGAGGGCAGCTGAAGAACTGCATTCAAGTTTCAACTGTCATACTCTTAACTGGGATTAGATATTTAAGAATTATAAGTAAGTACCTAAATGTATTAAATTAATATAACTTTTGAAATTAATAAAAATCTTTTGGGATGATCAGAATTACTAAATAACAATTCATGAGATGAGTTGTGATATAATAATTCATGTTATCTGCTTTGTTCATGGATCCACTGAGATAGTAAAGAGGATGTATTGAATCGAAGTAAACGAAGGTAATATAACTTATTTTAAGACATAAGTAAATATTTGCAACGTGTTTTCTAACACGCAACGTGTTAGAAAACACGTTGCAAATCTTTACTTATGTTTCTCAAGAATATTTGCAACAAATATTCTTGAAAAACGTTGTGCAGATATTATGGTCATACGCTCAAATTATCGTATTTTTATTCAAAAAATCTGAAGAATCAGCCGATTTTGCCTCTCTACTTAAAATCCGTAGACTTTTGCTGTGGTGCTTTCTCATTTATTAGGTCGTCAAGGATGAAATTTGTAGGTAATAATGTTGCTTATCTCAGAGTGCCTATGAATTATCGTTGAAGTTTGGTTTTGCAAACAAACAATATTAACTCATTTAGCTCAAATAGGTAAAGTGAAAAAGTTGGATAAGTGGGTTCCACACGAAATCTTTGGAAGCGTTTGGAAACTTGCGTTTGAAAGAAAAGCGTTTGGAAGCTTGCTTCATGTTGCTTTCTCTTCATAAATGTGATTCATTTGTGATGAGAATTGGATCTAATATGACAATCATGAACGTTCAGCACAGTGGTTGGACAAGGATCAATCATTAAAACACACTCCAAAGCGAAATATTCATCAAAAGAAGCTGATGGTGAGTGTTTCGTTGTGTAGCGCAGGTGTGATCCATTATGATTTTATGAAATCTGGCCAATCGATCACAGCAGAAATATACTGCAACCAAATAGACGAAATGATGCAAAAACATAAAGAAAAATGGCCTAAATTGGTCAACAGATCGGTCAACAGATCGATCCTATCTTATTGCATGATAACGCTGGAGCGCCTAGACTACACACTGCTGTGTGTAATGACAGTGGCAAAACTACAGGAATTGGAGTTGGAACATCTTCATCATCCTCCATACTCATTAGACCTAGCCCCCACTGACTACCACCTCATCCGCAATTTGGACAACTCTTTAAAAGAAAAACATTTTAATTTCGACAATGCTGTAAAACTGGCTTTTTAGAAATTCATTGACTCTCGTTCTCCAGGGTTTTATACCACCGGCCTGAACAACCTGCCGTTTAAGTGGCAAAAGTGTATAGACAATATGGGTACATAATTTGATGAAAGGAATAATTTTTTATATTTGTAAGTTATCAACCAACTTTGCCTTTTTTCCCCACAAATTTCATCCTTGACGACCCGATACACTAATGATTTCTTTTCTTCTCTAAAAGCACACAATTTGTTAAACGTTTCTATGATAACCACAGGAACAAACTACATAAATAAAATAAACAAAACAGATAAAGTGAAACGATTTAATTTCTTACACTCATTTAAAAGCTAAAGCTGATTTAATCAGTTTATGACTGTAAAATGCAAAATGTTTTATTTTTAGTGCAAACAACAAATGATGAGTTGCTTTTAAACAAAAATATGAGCATTCGCTACCAATTATATAACTACAGCACTAATATTTTACTATTGAAGCTATATTATGTTTATAGAAATATAATACTTCATATATAGTACTTCAATATGATATTTTTTTAAACTTTCAGTGGAGCAGGAAGAGCGAATTCAGGAATACGATATTCAGCAAAATTCAGAAAAAGAAAAACATTTTAAATATAATATTAAAACAAAGAAATACGCTTCTTCCAGTGAAAATTGCAATAAAATTCATGAGAAAATTAAAAGAAAATACTTCAAGTTTATGTTTGCATCTCATTCTAAACAAGAATTTACGTGTGATTTATGTAAACAGACTTTCACAAATAAGAGCATATTACAAACACATCTGTTTTGTCATATTGGAAAAAAACCATTTTTCTGCACAATTTGCAATAAGAAGTTTTTGTGGCGTTTTCTTTTGCAAAGACACATGAAAAAACATAAAACTGGAAATCAAAACAAAATCTCTTATCGGGATTTATGTACGCGGCCATCTGAAGATCGAGTGAAGCCATCTTCAACAAAGGGTAGAAAAGCTAATATTAAGCAGAAAAATGATATTTGTAATAAGCGCGTTCAATATGGTAAGGGCCGTTTAGAAATACACAAGAGAACACACAGAACTTATTCCTGCAAAACATGTGGTAAAAAATTTAAGTGGAAGTGCATTTTTCTACGTCATGAAGCAACGCATAGTGAAGACCGTCCTTACAAATGCGATATTTGCAATAAGAGTTTTAAATGGAAAGAGTATTTAAAAATGCATCAGAAAACTCATACTGATGAACGTAACTATGTTTGTCAGGTATGTAACAAACGTTTTAAAACCATAGGTACTTTGATAGGTCATAAAATAGTTCATAATGATAAATTTAACCATACTTGTCATATATGTAACAAAAGTTTTAAACGAAGTTGTCATTTAAAACAGCATATTTATATACACAGCGACGAATACAAATATTTCTGTGACATATGTAACAAGTATTTTAAAACAAAACAGTATTTGCCAAAGCATAAACTTATTCATAGTAAAAAATCTAATATCAAGGGGAAAAATGTGTGTTGCGACATTTGTGGTAAGCGCGTTCTATATGGTAAGGGCCGTTTAGAAAGACACAACAGAATACACAAAGTACATGCCTGCAAAATATGTGAAAAAGAATTTAAGAGGAAAGCTGTGTTGTTGCAGCATGAAGCAACGCATAGTGAAGACCGTCCTTTCAAATGCGATATTTGCAATAAGAGTTATAAACGGAAAGATCATTTAAAAACGCATTACGAAACTCATACTGATGAACGTAACTATGTTTGTCAGGTATGTAACAAACGATTTAAAAGAAAACAGTATTTGGCACGTCATAAAGTAGTTCATAATAACCAATTTAACCATACTTGTAAAATATGTAACAAAAGTTTTAAAAGCAGTATTTATTTAAATTTTCATATTCGTATACACAGCAACGAATACAAATATTCTTGTGACATATGTAACAAACGTTTTAAAACAAAACACTATTTAACATATCATAAAATTGTTCATAATAATCAATTTGATTATACTTGTCAAGTATGTAATAGAATTTTTAAACGCAGTTCTAGTTTAAAACAGCATATTCGTAAGTACAGCAATAAGTGCAAATATTCTTGTCATATGTGTAACAAATATTTTAAGACAAAACATTTATTGGAACAGCATAACATTATTCATAGCGATACANAGTAGTAAATAAAATTAAATAAATCTAAATCTAATGACATGATAAAGGGTCCTGGAGACACTGTCTCACTAATTACTAGTGACTAATGACCAGAAGTTCATTGGAAGGAGCCGTTCTGTAGGTTTTGCATATCCTGATGGTGAATTTTCTCTGGGTGAAGGCAAGCTTGCGGCGAATATGTTGTTTATTAAGCGCCTCTTGCCACACCGGGACAGCATACTGTTTCATAGTTTTTATATGTAGACAATGGATCCTTTCGGGTTCGACTGACATATCTTGCATTAAAATCGTAACATTTTTCCTCGCAGTCAGACAAAGTTTATTTTAAAATTTTAGAAAAAGTAATGTAAACGTAGAAAGTAGCGCAACTCGTTGCTGGTTTATCCTACAGTCGAATTTCCCTTTCGAATGGGGACAGAGAGAGAGAGAGAGAGTTTACATAATAACTTAAATATAATATACCTTTTAATGTTTTCACAATTATTTTGTAAATCGGCGATATTTCTCTTCGTCTTCGAATTATTTCTCTTGGAATGTTGAACTGATTAGCACAGAGAAGTTGACCCTATCGCCCCCCTTTGAGTGGCGAGTAAATGTAGAAAAGCGAAAAGAGGCAAGGGGAAATGAAGGTTGGGTACTGAATGGTGACCGTAAGCAAAAGTTGTGGTTACTGACAACTTTTCCCTTTCCTGTATTAAAACGGGTGTAAAGAAACATTCACTTTAATGGTTTCAGCATTTGGAGAACAATGTACGGTAAAGATATAAAGTGTGAGTTTGTTTAAAAAGTTTTTCTAACAATATTTCCGTGCCTTGTTCATACAAGAAAGAATGAATTAGCGGACAATTAGGTACTTGGGTATAACTTGACATTGATTGGTGCAAAATCTCACACTTGAACAATCGAATCTGAAGGAACTGGTGTTATCACACTTTAAAAGAAAAGAAAGTTCCTAATCCAATTTCGTATGTTTTATAAATAGAATATCGAACAAATATAACAAAATTTTGTTAAAAGTAAACTATGAGCTTTGGATTCTCGCTGAAATTAATACTGCATTAACTGTGCTTTTAATTAATTGTAACTCTTTTTTTCCCACATAACTATGAAAATTATTTTACTGTTGTTTCGCAGAAAAGATAATCAAATTTAAATTTATTTTCATTTTTTTTCTTCGTAATTTAATTTATTTATTTTATAAATTTTCCTGCTTTTTATTTTAATTATGTTTTTTTTTTAATTTTAACGTTGAATTATCAGGTTGCCTATAATAGTATAAAGTAAACCAGAAAGTTTTCAGATTTAAAAAATGTGATTAAATAGGCATATTTCATTTTTACTTTCTTAATGTAAACATTAATAAATTCGTTTTAAAAACAATAGTATTAACCAGTGCCGTAACTAGCCATTCTGTGCCCTGTGCAGGAATTTGCATTTAGGCCCCTTAATTAATTAGGTTTGGGAAAGTAATAAAACAAATACATGCATTTTGGGCTCCTCTTGCAAGTGAACCTTGTGCGGGTGCACCTGTTGCACCTGCCTAGTTACGGCACTGGTATTAACCATATAACACTTGATTTTATAGCTGAAAAGTGTCAGCCAGGTGTACTGGAAACGTCTCACCACTGGAGTTTCTTCCGTTAAATTTGACCTACTGGAACGACCCTTCTGACAATCTGCTGCTGTTGCCATGTCAACACATTTTGGAGTCGGACCAGTCAGACCAGTCGGTCATAGTATGAAAGTCCTAACAAAGACAGGCAAGTAAACTCAGTTTTTTTTGTTCGCGTTGTAGTAGTAAAAAAGGGAATACACAATCAAAATTAATAGAAGAGAGTCAAGAAGTAGCGCGTCACTAACTCACGTCATAGTTTGTAGCTACGAAAGCTACGTGATATATGATTAACAAATATTGTTTCTAGAATCCACCTCGTTTTTATCACTCGTCTGGCAAACACCGTTGTTACATCGTCAGTCCTTTTTCTTAGGTCTTCAGATATTTTGTTCATCCAACTTTTCCTGGGTCTACTCTAGGTCTTCTCTCCTTCATTAGGGGCATTGATGCTATTAAATATCGATGATTTAAGATCGACGGGATGGAGCGTTAATTGGAGTCATATGTATGTCCAGGGTGTGCAGCGGCAACGAAAAGCGGCATTTTCGCCGCGCGACTGCACAACTACACAAGCGGCAAGCTAATTACATTTCGGCGCTTGCGTACAGTATTCAAGATGACGATCGATACCGACACTGTCAGTATCCACGTATTTACAAATTCTGTTTTGTACGGCTTTATTTAACTAAAAAATTTTATCTAAGATATGGATTAGAGATATTTTCTTGGATCGAGGAAGAACTCGTGTACAAAATACGCTTATTCCTCGATGAATATTTGTCGATAAAGATTACGATTTCTATTAACATTCGTTTGCTAGTAAATCTAGGGGGAGGAAAAATAACAAGTGGAAGACGGGGCACTGGAGGTAGAGTATTGGACGATGACCGTAGGGAAAGGTTGGGGTCACTGACAATCTTTTCCTGAACTGTTTTAAAACGAGTGTCAAAGTGCATTGCGTTTCATAATTTCCAGTTTTTCCTTTAATTTCGTTTTACAAAAATCGGGGAAAATATCGAACAAATAGAACAAACTTTTGTTAAAAGTTAATTACAGTATTTACTCGAATATAAGACGATCTCGCGTGTAGGACGAGGTGTGATCTTAAAGATCGAAATAAAGAAAATTAGATTTATTAATGCAATTCTAATTTTATTTCGTTTAATAAGAAATAAAATATCAAATGCAGATAAATGCACACTTTCTCCCGTAAAAATTACTGGCATTTTAATCTTCAACGAAAAATCTTCAATTCTTCGTCGATTCACTTACGAGTTTCTTCGAATTTCCAAATAATCATTTGTATACACATGAGAATGAATTACAACTTATACTGTATTGGGCTCTTGTGTAATTTTGGAATTCAATTCAAAAACTTTGCTTTTCCTATTGCTATTTATCTTTACTCATGACAATACACAAGAACGTTTAAACGACGCAGGTAAAATAGTTTTTAAACAAAATAAGGTAAAAACCCGGTAAAATATGCCAATACAATTACAAAAATTATACAAAAACGAAAAAATCCTTTGAAAAAGTAAAAAATGGACAAAAACCTCGTCATATATGCGAGTAAATACTGTATAAACTCTTGGTCCTCACATAATATTAATTTTGTATCGAATTTTTTGCATTAATTATACTATTTTTAAATAATTGCAACTGTCGTTTCTTTCCGCGTAACTATTAAAAATGATTTTAGTGCTGTTTCGCCTAAAACATAATTAAATTTATATTTATTTTCATTTTTTAGTAGTTTTATTTATTTATTTTATAAAATTTACCTGATTTATAACTTTTTTTTTTAAATTTTATCTTTTAATTATGAGAGAGTTAACATTGAACTATCAGGCTACGTAGTGAGTGGCAAATCTACATAGGGATTAATAAAACTCAAGTTCTGTGCCCCGAAGTGTTAAGGGGCACATAAATTAAATTATTCTCCTAAGTTTTAATGCGCTTCTATTAACATTTCATAAATATATATATTTCAACTCTAATTTTGATGTTATTCAAAATAAATTTCAATCCCCAATTTAAAAAATTCTAATTTTAACTAAAACTGGGCCCTGTTATAATTCAATAAGCCCTAGGCCCCTGTACCAAGTATAATGTAAACCGGAAAGCTTCTAGGTTTTAAGAATTTCATTAAATATTTTATTTTTAGTTTCTTACTATAAACATTTATAGGTACGTTATAAGAACAACACTATTAGCCGTATAAGAAGTGATTTTGTAGCGGCAAAGTGTCACGTGTGCTAGACACGTGCACAACTCCAGTTTCTTCCGTTGACCCTGAAAGTGCACCCCTTGTTTACTGCTACAACATGAACAATAGTAATGAGTTTGCTGGTCTTTCTGTATTGCTTGCTCTAAATTTCGAATGAACATTTATTAATTTATTAATTATTTCATTGAATACAGATCGTTGACTTACGAGAATATCGTAAATAGAGAAAATAAAGATAAAATAAGAGTTAGAAACGAAATATTCGGACTTTACAATTGAACAAACCGAACAAAATTTTGAAGTTGATTTTAAAAATTTTAAGAGAAAATTTAATACGGATGTCAAATGTTATAAAACAATTAAATCGGAATCTTTAGAGGTGAGTGAAAATTTCTTTTATATAAGATCGCGGTGTTGCTTTAAAGACGAGAAAAACAACTAAAATGGTAAAATATAAAGTGGGAAATAGAAAAAAATTTTTTAAATAGTATATTTGTATAAATAATGGTCCCACGAGCTTTAAACTGAGCTACGTTACTTTCGATTCAAAGTAAAAGTCATTTCGTCTCTTTACAATGAAATTTGACGTTATGTTCACTGTGTTCGTATTAAATTAAAAGGGCACTTGTTTAGTTTAGGGGTACGGCTGTTTGAAAGGTTTTCTTGTATAAAATTAATCGATTTTAAACTAATTTGACTCGAACATTTCCAAAACACGTATAAATTTTTGGGAATAATCCATATAAAATATGCCATAAACAAAAAATTCTAGGCATACTCACTGAGTGTACGTCGTCCGATGACGCAGTTGCTTAAGCTTGTTTTCGTCGCGGAACGGCACATCGGACGGTGGACGAGTACGAAGCATGTCACGTGACATTTGGCGGTGCTTTCGGTCACGTGACTACTGATCTTTGACCCGTTTCCTGATAACTAATTCTTTTTCTGAAGAATTCGCTGAACTTTAG